AAGATAGGCGCCCGCTAGCTCGTTTCGCGCGCTAGACGCCAGTACTCATTCGTCACTACTACTACTAGCGACGCAATCGCGACGTGTCGCTGGACTCGGAGTGTGATCATCTACTTGACGGCTGGGTGCCTCACACATACCCTCACCCTGAATGGATCTGACTGATGCTACGTTGCATAGACCTCTAAACAGAAGCTTGCGCCGGCAGCGATGTTGAATGTTCGTTGATTATATGGATCCACCCGGGGACGGCATATACAACCTAGAAGCTGCGCAAGTCTATCTATCAGAATGGTCCCGGCATCACATCAAATGTTGACCAGCCGCGGCATCCCCTACCACTGTTGTTCCATGCACGCGCTCCTTCCCGAACTGTATGACATAGCCTTGTCATTTTGACGCATGGTGACAAGACGACGCATGAACACCTATTAACGTCCGAAACACGGTGTGCTAGCGTTCTTATTCATTTACAAGCAATTGGAGTAACACACATACTATATTACTAGACTAACACTGACGTCTGCCAGTCGTCTGGGTAGACAAGGAGCTCGAGATCGGAACACCGCATCGCCTCGATCAAGAAGACGTAGGATGGCTCGATACCACCGAAGCATGTGTCTCCATATTTCCGGCTGGGCTGTGTGACTATTGGACCATCTGAGGCTCGACATCCCAGGTGTGTCCATCTTGCATGTACTTCTGTTGTACCAGGCTTGACATCGAGCTCGGGTGGAACCCTAGGATCGTGCCACACTCATTCTCCGTGTCTGTTCATCGGACGAAGGCCTGGGCCACTATCTTTTAACATATTAATCAAGGGTATTCCACTCATATAAGTGTACTGGTGTGTATGCGGTCTTCATGACGCCGCTATCACATTGTGCCTGCTGACGAACACAGTTCCATGACAGCTATTCTCAAGTTGACTTCCATGACTTCTGACGTGATCGTTGCCGTATGACCCAAGCACAGGTATGAAGTGTGAGCATATCTCGTACAGTATAAGATGGGTTCAAGTGTTCGTGACCGTCAGGATTCAGGACTGCCCAGTCATATACCCTCTCCTCTATCCTTCGACATGTTCGACACATACCCATATCTCGCCCTAACACTCGCCTTCTTGGCCCATTGTCGCGCCCTCCCCAATGCATCTTCGACTTCCTCTACCATCTCGACAAGCGCAGTCATATTGCCTCCCAATATCATTGGCATTGGGCGGTCTTACCCGATGTCTCTCGGGCCGCATCCTCTTGCTCCTCCGGTCCCCCCATCATTGCTCACAGACCTGATCAACATCCTCCCTCATGGCGGCGGCTTGAATACAACCGTCTTCAAGACCTCGTCGGCGGAAGCACCCTCATCCGGACCACCTTCCGCCGATACCGTAAACTCTGCGACACTCCTCCTATGCCAGAACACAGATTGCGGAGGATGCCAAGGGTTCGACCTGAACGCAGCGCCCCGCGACGCGTGTCTTGTCCCATCTGAATCCAGCTTCCAGTTCTGGTCGGTCGCCATCAGCCAGCCGAGAGACAGCGGCCTGCCGTATGGTGTTCTTGTGGGCCCGGGCGGATGCACAGAGTTCTCTTACATCCCCCGCGTGAACACTTGTTACGACGTACCAAACCCTCCGTTTACGGAGTTTGCGATCAACGACGGCAACTAATCAGGTTACGTGCAATGTAAGTTCTTTGCATTAGCCATGGCTGACATCGGGTTTACCCTGTTCTGTAGATGATGCCGGTCACACCAGCTCGATTGGCGATCGGAAGAGCCGCGGTGTAACGCGCTTTTCCGAGAACAAAGAATGTGTGATGGACATTTCAGAGTAGAGAAGGCTTCTGCAGTTGTTCTGCAGTGAGACTCTAGCACAACCGTGGTGCGAACGACAGCAGTGCTATGATTCCGTAGTATCATGCTTAACCCAGTGTATACGCTAAGTTTGTTTGGTGGTTCAGGCTGGAACCTACCGGGGCTTTCGCACGTAGCAGGCATAATCATGCATGTCGTGTCGTTCGCAGCTCCTATCCGAGTCAGATGTTGACAAGGGTTGCGAGAGACTTCAAGCAGTCTCTTGGGGGCGAACGATCAACTTGATCCCGCTGACCTTGTTGTCACGCATGCGGTCACACCCCTTCGGGATCCCTGCCAGGCCCCCAGGGAGCACTTCGATCCTGTTTGGCTGGGCACACAACACGGGTAAGTAAAGCTTTCACTCAAAGAGTCACCATCAGGAACACTCACCACGATGACGCCCGTGCGCAACCACTCCGTGAGCCTCTTGTATAACTCGACCCCCATGGCGTAATTCTAAGGAAGCCCGAGCGCCGCGAACGTCTTCGCGATCTTCTTCAGAGCCAGCCCGGCCTCCTTGTCGCGCGCGATCTTGGCGTCGAGGGCGCTCGTCTGCGGGTCCACCAGGACAAGAGCGCCGCCAGGGGCGACCGCGTCGTACGCGAGGTGGTGCAGCGCGTCCTCTCCAATCGCATTGTACGCGTACAGGAGCGGCTTTCCGGCGGTGAGTGTCGAGAGTTCGGCGAGGATCGCCTCGGGCGCGAGCGAGCGGTCGAGGATGTGCGTCGCGCCGAAGTCCGTGTGCTTCAGCGAGGAGGTGGTAATGATGGGCGAGAAGCCTTGGAGCTTCGCTATCTGGATGGCTATGTGACGGGGCCAAATTAGACATATAGTATGAGTACGAGGGGAGGTACTTACCGAACTGTCCGACAGAGGACGATCCGCCGGTCACGAGGGCAGCTTGTCCAACGTACTTGGTCAAGCCGCCTTCCTCCCAAGGTGCGGCGAAATCGACGGAGGTCGCCTGGGGGTGGTGGCTCCAGAGACCGGTAAGGACGGTGTTGAGAGTCAGTGGGACCGACGCTGCTTCGTCAAAGGAGATGTTCAAGTTGTCCGGAATCTGTAACCGATCAGCGGAAGCCCGGTGGTAGAATGTGCGACAAACCTTCGCAACAAAGTCGGCTGGAACGACCGTGTATTGCATGAACGTAGCTTGTGTATTGTAAAAAAACCCCACCCCCAGGGAACAGACTACCGATATGTACACTGTCAGCACGCATGCCATGAGTTCTAGACTAGATATTGTGCACTTACACCTTGTCGCCCTTCGCGACATTCGTAACCTCGGACCCAACCTCCTCGATGATCCCGGCACCGTCCATACCGCCGACTACCGGGTAGTCAGTGATGAAAAGGAGGAGCGTACACCTGAACCTTCCAATCGGCAGGGTTGAGCGCGGCGGCGACGATCTTGATGAGGACGTGCTTCGGGCCTGGAGCCTGCACAGGCCTGTCTGTGACAAGCTTCCAAGGTTGCTTCGGCTCGGGAATGACAAGTGCCTTCTGCGTTGACGGTGCCATGAAGAGAGGGGTCGATATATGTGTATATAATAGCGGGATGAGTGCTGTTGAAGATGCCTCCTCCAGTACGGCCCAAAGCTGGTCTTGTTATATCCACCCATTCGATACTGCGAGTGACGTTTCCTGACAGCTTGGCCGCCGTGAAGTGCAACATATTGTCGGACCCTAAGGTGGCTCAATACAGTCATCTGGCGTCCAGTCGGTCACTATCGCCCCAATGGGTCACCTGTTAGCCCTCAAAAACTTGCCTCAAAAGGCAGGTGACCCACTGGATGCCAGATGACTGTATGTATCCAATTGCTGACTGGTGCCCCGGGCTAATCACGGGATGTTTGATACTGTACTTACTTATTCCGAGGCCCCGGACCGAGGGCAACATCAGCTGCTTAGATCTTGCTCACCATCAGGTTTCATCAGGTTCGAATCTGCAGGACTTTCGCTGACTTTCGGTGTGTTCGCGCATGTTCGCGGACTTTCGAATCGACCGATGACATGGATAAAAGCCACCGATGAGTCGATCACCATAGTTCACGAGTTCTCTCCCACCTAACTCGCACTACTTACTCTAACCCGCACTACTCTCGCCATGGTCCTGAAACTCTACGGTACACCGCGTTCGACCTGCACCAACCGCGTGCGCACCGTCGCGGAGGAGCTCGGTGTCACCTACGAGTTGATTGTAATCGACTTCGCAAAGGGCGAGCACAAGGCGCCCGAGTTCCTCGCCGTCCAGCCCTTCGGCCAGGTTCCATACCTCGACGATGACGGCTTCAAGGTGTACGAGAGCCGCGCCATCTGCCGCTACCTCGCGCTCAAATACGGCGGGATTGGTAAGCTGATCCCGGATCCGACCGACTTCCAGAAGACAGGGCTGTTCGAGCAGGCGGCGAGCGTCGAGCAGTCGAACTTCGACGCGTTCGCGGCCCAGCTCGCATGGGAGAACGTCTTCAAGCCGTGAGTGCATAGCTCTTGATTGAGTGGTACTATTCATGCCGACCCTGGCCGTGTAGGTTGTTCGGTCTGACCGCCGACAAGGAGTACGTTGAGCGGCTCACGAAGAGCCTCGAGGGAAAGCTCGCCGCATATGATGTCATCCTCGGGAAGACCAAGTTCCTCGCCGGCGACGTGAGCCTAAGTTTCGACTACGCACCGCGCACCGTACTTACGCCGATTGCCCTACAGGAGATCACCCTTGCCGACCTCTTCCACCTTCCGTACGGTGCGCTCCTCCCAAAGCAAAACATCGATCTCCTGGAGTCGGGCAAGTTCCCCAATGTTACGCGGTAAGCTATTTCGGCTAGATTCTGTGGGAGAGAGAATCTCTGACGAGGTGCTACACGTAGGTGGTGGAAGGACGTCTCGTCCCGTACTTCATGGAAGAAGGTGACGTCGCAATGAGTCGTCACAGTGGATAGGGAGGACCTGAATTAGTAGATCTTCAAGTTGTACTACGGATCCACAATGGGTTTCTCATGCATTAAACTATCTCGTATAGTTGTGCTGTCTGTACTGAAGGCTGGAGTTGGACTTGAGACTGGTTAAGTAGTGTGACGACTGAGCAGTACTTATGACCATTCCCGGGTTGCACCGGATATATACTGCCGGATGTACCCCCTGTCAACGGCCCAATGGTCTAGTAGTATGATTCGCGCTTCGGGTTTGTCACCCTGCTGGTGAAGCATTGATTGCGCGAGGTCCCGGGTTCAATTCCCGGTTGGGCCCTTTTTGTCCCCAAGACCAATCATGGTGGCGTCTGCGCCGATTCTAAGCCGTGGATGCCAGCGGGTGTCTCGAGTCGGGATCGAGGCCCGAGCTCTCAAGAGACTCTTCAGTCAGCGACTATATCGTATGCAGACTTCGGACTCTGTCTCTGCCTTGCACGTTCAGGCTCTGCGATGATGGTCTGCTGCTCGACGTTCTGTGCTCGCTGTTTGTGAACGGATGCGGGCCGTTCGAGTGCGCGGTACGTTCTCATACTCTGCACAAAGAAGAGACTCCGTGCCTCGTTGCGCCCTCGTGGAGCTGGGCTGCGTGTCCTCTCTTAGAGCCTGACACGCTCACCTGTCTTGCCATTCTCTACGACCTTGACATCTCTCCTTCTCGCCATGACAGAGTACAATGACGGTCAGTACAGGGACAACAACCTCTACCCCGATACCCTCTCCCGACAGAGCAACGGATACCCTACTCGTCGGACCCCACGATACAGTCGCACCACCGGCAGCAATCCCAGTTGGATATCCAATGGCATGCTATCTCCTCCGCCCTTCGCCGCAAGGCCCTCGTCAGCCGCCTCTCGCCCGCTCCCCGTCCCTTCCCCTCCCCAGTCTCGTGTTGTGTCCGACTTTCAGCCCTCGTACCCCGCTCCCTCGGAGCTTGGCCCAGAGCATGAACCAGAGCCGTACCCTGGAGGAGCCATGTTCGAATCTCGAGACGATCGCGAGTGGGAACCAGAGGAGAACATGACAATCGGGCAGAGCATGAATGAAGATGAATACAGTTATGCGGAGTATCCGGACCCACCCCCACAAGAGGAGTCCATCCCGGAGAACGACCCCCATGCCTTTCGCGTCTTTCCTCGGGAGCCAGAGCGAGAACTTGAAACCAAGCAGAAGGGGCGGACGATGCAGTTCGTGGGCGGGTTCGTGAGTGGATTACGGAAGCTCCCAAAGGCCGTTGTGAAGAGCACGTTCTACGACCGCAAGGCGACGCGCAAAGGTGCGCTTGGTACCGAACAGGAGAGCGGACCGTCGCACTTTCTTCCCGCTTACGACGATCCTGGAACCACCGTCCCTAATCCCGAGAACGTCCACTATGTGCAGGGTCTCGAGATGCCCACGGAGCCAAAGCCCCCAACAGAGTTGTCGTACGCAGATGCCACTCGACCGAGCAGTCAACAGCGTGTCAGCGAGCAGCGGGTCAGTCAGGTGCAATCGTCGCGCCGCACTAGTTCGCCGGCCCCCGCTCCCTCCCTAATCGGCAGTAGTCCACGCTTCCGTCCTGCCAACGAGCCCGAAATCGTCGATCCTATCCTTGCAAGCGACTATCGCAAAATGGATTCGCCCATCCGATTTGCGCCTCCGGAGGAATCGATCCGCCAACAGTTATCGCGTGCCAGGAACTGGTTCCACGAATTGAAGACCCTCCCTTGGACGTCCGACCGTGTGGCACAGGACTACGTCCCCGCACGGTCAAGCAGAGCCCACGTGGGCAAGGCCAAGCCGGCTGGCTCGTGGTACACCGTCAACAGACACCAGGACATAGACCTACTCGCTGGTGGCCTTGGGTCGGCGCGCACTGCCCCTCTGCGGCTGCCACGCAGTGAGGCATCGGCGAGCGTACGATCCGGCCACCGGCCTCCACTCCAGGGGCGTACTCCTGCGAGCTACATGACCTCCCCGGGCCTCTTCCCATCTCCGGGCGCGTCGTCGCACGGGCAGGGTCAACACGCGATATCATACAGCTATTACTTTGCACCCCCACAGCCGCTTTACGTGTACCAGTCGCCCATGACCTCGCCCATGACACACAATGCCACGGAATCCTCATCTACGTCCATGTCGCCAGAGGCACACCAGGCCGTGCCGGTGTATATGATGGCAGGTCCTCCTCCTGGCCTCATTCCTTCACCTCTGCCTGCCATACACGCGGCACAGCACAATCAGGCCAACCGTGCAACATCTCCCTCGCCTATTCATATACCCTCCAGGCGACACTCGCGGCTCTCTCGTAATTCGGGGTCGAACACGCATTGATCATGCTCATCATGACCTGCGGCTCGGGTTCTTTCCACGACCATTTGCTTTTCATTCATCGAAGGATGTATTACTATATATTGCCCCCGGATTTGTGTTTGTTGGTGGTTCCCTGTCGTTCCTTTGCCCACTAGGCGCTTATGGCCTACCCGTTGCTTTCTAGCCCAAGCCGGCGAATCGCCCCCCGGGTTCGTCGTCGAAGAGGCTGGTAACAGACTCGACTACAATTTCCAACGTTATAACTCCGCGATCCTTCCTCGTGTTTCTCGTTTAGCCCCCACCCTTCGTCCGATATCGTCTCATCTAAGCTTCAGAGATGCCTTCCGCGAGCAACAACCTCTCTCCAAGCCTCGACGACTTCAAGACCTCGGACTTCTGGTTCACTGATGGCAGCATCATCCTACTTGTCGAAGATGTCGCATACAAAGTTCATCAGGGTCAGCTCATGCGCCACTCAGACCTCTTTCGCGACATGCTTTCTCTAGGACCTCAACCGGCCACCGACGTTATCGACGGATGTCCTTGGGTGCAGCTCTACGATGACCCGTCGGACATGTTCCACCTTCTTGAGGCACTATACGATGGCTTGTGAGTTCTCCCGGGAGGCTGACATTGGCAAACGATAACTCAGCATATCCCCATCTAGATACTTCACTAAACCTATCGCAAGAGATTTCTGCACTGTCGCGGCTGTGCTGCGCATGTCCACGAAGTACCAATTCGAGAGCCTCCGCGAGAGATGCTTGAAGCGTCTCGAAACGGATTGGCCGACGACACTCCTCGGGTGGGACAAGCGCGAGCGGCTGGCGACATACGACACACGCTACAACCCGCGCGAAGCATTCCCGCACCCCATCCTCGTCATCCAATTCGCACAAGAGTTCCAGCTTGAGCACGTTCTCCCTGCCGCGTTATACGATCTCTCTCGGTACGGCCCACGCAAAATCGCCGCCGGAGCCTCCGTTACGCCTGCCCTCCTCCCTTCACGATACCGTACCCACTCGAGAGATAAGTTCGACCCCTCGAACCCGGACGGCGTCATGCTGCGGCTGGAAGACATGGACCTACTCGCGGCGTTTCGCGGGCGCGAGGAGGGCCAGCGATTAATCGCGGCGTTCATCAACAAGGAGCTGAGCGGCCGCCGGCTGTCCGAGAACTGCCTGAATCGCAACCACGGGGACGGGCACCATTGCAAGGAGTCGTTCTACTTCATCATGCTCAACCTACTGCGCGCGGTAAGCGGCATCGCGACCGGGCGGGATGCGGACCCGCTCTTCTCGCTCATGCAGGCGGTCGAGATGCTCTCGCGCACGGACTTCTCGGACGGGACGCGCCAGCGCGGACTGCAGATCTGCGTGTCGTGCAAGGAGGACTTCTCGCTATCCGTCGCGCGCGCGAGAGAGGAGGTGTGGGACTTGATTCCGGTGTGGTTTGGGCTCAAGCCTGCGGTCGCCAATGAGGTGGCACCGCAGGTTCAGGATGCTGCATGAGCTGGCGAGTTGTTGTCCCTTTGCTTTCATGCTCTTCGTTTATGATGCCAGTGGTTACCACTGCCATGACCTGTACCACCTCATGCTGTGATGCTTCTACTATATCCTACCGTGCACCGACTCTGCCCTGTATTCGCTATGTTTTCTGTGACTGTATCGCAAATGCTACTGCCATATCTCTGACATCTTAGCTATTCCTCTAACCACATATACCGTTGCCTCCTAGTATGCCTACCCCTGTCTGGTAATATTACTCACTCGACCTCACAAGGACGGAAGAAGACAGTAGCCGGAAGGTCAGTAAGAGTGTGATTCCTTCGTGAATTCAAGGGAAGCATATGGGCGCTAACGCGCAATGCGGGGTAGAATTCACATGTGTCGGGGAGAGCAAGGAACCGGCCGCTCACCAGCGCTCACCTCATCACCGATTGAGGCACAGGCGGCTCTCCATACATAAATCCTCCCTCCCGACTCCACATGACCGCCTTTCCCCTCCTCGACCATCCCTGACCACCCCCGCACTTCCGTTCAGCCTCGCGAATCTACCGCCATGTCTTCCATCACTCAGCGCATCCAAAATTTTGCCGCCGTCACGCCCAAGGCTCGGGCTCTTGCACAGAACGACAATGACGTCGTCATCGTTGCGGCCGTGCGTTCTGCCATCACCAAGGTGTGTAACATATCAGCTCATTGGCTCACGGGAGCTTGGTGGTCGGTGAGTATAACGCAGGAGGACTGATGCGTTCAAACATAGGCAAAGAAGGGTGGTTTCAAGGACACCCGGCCAGAAGAGATTCTTTCTGGCGTGCTCAGCGCCGTCGTGAAGAAGGCGGGTATCAACCCTGCTGTCGTAGGCGACATCACCGTTGGCAATGTCCTTCCTGCGGGCGGCGGAGCGTCCGCGGCGCGTATGGCCGCGCTCCACGCAGGTATCCCGAACACCGTCCCCATCAGTACGACCAACAGGCAATGTGCCTCCGGTCTTCAGGCGGTCAATATCATCGCGAGCGAGATTATCACCGGGCAGATTGACATTGGTATCGGTACGTTGCATTTCGCGTATGCACCAGTGTTCATTCATTAACACGTCGCTCAGGCGCCGGTGTCGAGTCCATGACCTTCGGTTACGGCGGCGGTGCCATGCCCGACGGTTTCTCTGAGGCGGTTCTCTCCTGTCAGGAGGCAGAAGACTGCCTCATTCCCATGGGCATCACCTCTGAGAACGTCGCTGCCGACTACAAGATCACCCGCCAGGTCCAGGACGAGTTTGCTGCGAAGTCGTTCCAAAAGGCGGCAGCCGCACAAAAGGCTGGCAAGTTCAAGGACGAAATCGTTCCTCTGAAGGTCAAGGTTGTTGACCCAAAGACGGAGAAGGAGTCTGAGGTTATTGTTGACCGCGATGACGGTGTCCGGGAGGGCGTCACTGCTGAGTCGCTCGCGAAGCTCAAGCCAGCGTTTGCGAAGGACGGATCTACAC